CAAAAACAAAGGTGAGGAGAATAGTCCAAATGTAAATAGTGTAAGTAATAAAGGGTTCAGTTCAGAATTCCCTTTAAGTTACCCAGATCGATATACAGCTGACGAAGGCCGGAGTGCACAATGGTCGAAACGTTGTGATAACAAAAACAAAGATGAGGAGAATAGTTCGAATATAAATTGGCTAAATAAAGTAAAATATAATTCAACATAAATGACTCTCGCGTTGTTAATTTTAGTCACAGTTTCGACCGTTTACACTCCGGTCGTTTTTAGGTGTCTTTTGAATTGGTAAACTAACCACTGGTAAATTAAATGGGTTAAGTTCAGAATTTCCTGTAGGAATTACCCAGATCGGACACACCTGATGAAGACCGGGGTACAATGACCGAATAGCAACAACAAGGATGAAGACAATAGTGTAAATAAATAAAAAAATAAATTGAGAGAATCAAACAAGAAAAAAAACGGCTAAATTATTTTTGATTGATTTTATTTTTTACCGTTTATCAACCCTTTGTGGGTTATTTAAAGCTGAAATATATTTTGGACTGTAAGAATAATATTTCTTTGTGAGTAAATGTTGCATTAACAATTATTTGAGAATAAAAATGATTTTTCAAGATATATGTCCTATTATTTAACACACATCTGGGGGCAACAGATTGAAATGTTTCACAAGGATATTTGCGCGCGTAAGTGAATATAACGTACCTGCTATCAATTAGGTTACAAAAAGAGATTATAGCAAAAATTAAAAGGATAATAATTAAAAAAGATATGCATTGGTTCGCACGAAAACATTTGAACAAGTTTCTGTTGCGAATGTAAGTAGTTGAGAAAGACTATTAAGAACATTGGATAAAGCCAGGAAAACAGTACGAGGCGTAGGCTGAAATGTTCATAGGCTGACTATGAAGGAATGATGCTAGAGAAGTGAAATCTTGCAGGCATTAATTTCAACTCTTCTTATTAATAACTGCATTGTTTCTTTGCAGGTCCAAGAGTGGGCTGAAATGTTCATAGGCTGACTATGAAGGAGTAATGCTAGAGAAGTGAAAACTTGCAGGCATTAATTTCAACTCTTCTTATTAATAACTGCATTGTTTTCTTTGCAGGTCCAAGAGTGGGCTGAAATGTTCATAGGCTGACTATGAAGGAGTAATGCTAGAGAAGTGAAAACTTGCAGGCATTAATTTCAACTCTTCTTATTAATAACTGCATTGTTTCTTTGCAGGTCCAAGAGTGGGCTGAAATGTTCATAGGCTGACTATGAAGGAGTAATGCTAGAGAAGTGAAAACTTGCAGGCATTAATTTCAACTCTTCTTATTAATAACTGCATTGTTTCTTTGCAGGTCCAAGAGTGGGCTGAAATGTTCATAGGCTGACTATGAAGGAGTAATGCTAGAGAAGTGAAAACTTGCAGGCATTAATTTCAACTCTTCTTATTAATAACTGCATTGTTTCTTTGCAGGTCCAAGAGTGGGCTGAAATGTTCATAGGCTGACTATGAAGGAGTAATGCTAGAGAAGTGAAAACTTGCAGGCATTAATTTCAACTCTTCTTATTAATAACTGCATTGTTTCTTTGCAGGTCCAAGAGTGGGCTGAAATGTTCATAGGCTGACTATGAAGGAGTAATGCTAGAGAAGTGAAAACTTGCAGGCATTAATTTCAACTCTTCTTATTAATAACTGCATTGTTTCTTTTGCAGGTCCAAGAGTGGGCTGAAATGTTCATAGGCTGACTATGAAGGAGTAATGCTAGAGAAGTGAAAAACTTGCAGGCATTAATTTCAACTCTTCTTATTAATAACTGCATTGTTTCTTTTTGCAGGTCCAAGAGTGGGCTGAAATGTTCATAGGCTGACTATGAAGGAGTAATGCTAGAGAAGTGAAAACTTGCAGGCATTAATTTCAACTCTTCTTATTAATAACTGCATTGTTTCTTTGCAGGTCCAAGAGTGGGCTGAAATGTTCATAGGCTGACTATGAAGGAGTAATGCTAGAGAAGTGAAAACTTGCAGGCATTAATTTCAACTCTTCTTATTAATAACTGCATTGTTTCTTTGCAGGTCCAAGAGTGGGCTGAAATGTTCATAGGCTGACTATGAAGGAGTAATGCTAGAGAAGTGAAAACTTGCAGGCATTAATTTCAACTCTTCTTATTAATAACTGCATTGTTTCTTTGCAGGTCCAAGAGTGGGCTGAAATGTTCATAGGCTGACTATGAAGGAGTAATGCTAGAGAAGTGAAAACTTGCAGGCATTAATTTCAACTCTTCTTATTAATAACTGCATTGTTTCTTTGCAGGTCCAAGAGTGGGCTGAAATGTTCATAGGCTGACTATGAAGGAGTAATGCTAGAGAAGTGAAAACTTGCAGGCATTAATTTCAACTCTTCTTATTAATAACTGCATTGTTTCTTTCCAGGTCCAAGAGTGGGCTGAAATCTTCATAGGCTGACTATGAAGGAGTAATGCTAGAGAAGTGAAAACTTGCAGGCATTAATTTCAACTCTTCTTATTAATAACTGCATTGTTTCTTTCCAGGTCCAAGAGTGGGCTGAAATCTTCATAGGCTGACTATGAAGGAATGATGCTAGAGAAGTGAAAACTTGCAGGCATTAATTTCAACTCTTCTTATTAATAACTGCATTGTTTCTTTCCAGGTCCAAGAGTGGGCTGAAATGTTCATAGGCTGACTATGAAGGAGTAATGCTAGAGAAGTGAAAAACTTGCAGGCATTAATTTCAACTCTTCTTATTAATAACTGCATTGTTTCTTTCCAGGTCCAAGAGTGGGCTGAAATCTTCATAGGCTGACTATGAAGGAATGATGCTAGAGAAGTGAAAACTTGCAGGCATTAATTTCAACTCTTCTTATTAATAACTGCATTGTTTCTTTCCAGGTCCAAGAGTGGGCTGAAATCTTCATAGGCTGACTATGAAGGAATGATGCTAGAGAAGTGAAAACTTGCAGGCATTAATTTCAACTCTTCTTATTAATAACTGCATTGTTTCTTTCCAGGTCCAAGAGTGGGTATGAAAAGTCTTCATAGGCTGACTATGAAGGAATGATGCTAGAGAAGTGAAATCTTGCAGGCATTAATTTCAACTCTTCTTATTAATAACTGCATTGTTTCTTTGCAGGTCCAAGAGTGGGCTGAAATGTTCATAGGCTGACTATGAAGGACTGATGCTAGAGAAGTGAAATCTTGCAGGCATTAATTTCAACTCTTCTTATTAATAACTGCATTGTTTCTTTCCAGGTCCAAGAGTGGGCTGAAATGTTCATAGGCTGACTATGAAGGACTGATGCTAGAGAAGTGAACTCTTGCAGGCATTAATTTCAACTCTTCTTATTAATAACTGCATTGTTTCTTTCCAGGTCCAAGAGTGGGCTGAAATCTTCATAGGCTGACTATGAAGGACTGATGCTAGAGAAGTGAAATCTTGCAGGCATTAATTTCAACTCTTCTTATTAATAACTCCATTGTTTCAATCCGAGTACGAGGATGGGATGAAAAGGTCATAGCCTGGCTATTAAGGGGTGATGCTGGAGATTCGAAGTCTTGCTTTCATTAATTTCAGTACTTCTTTTTAATAACCGCTTTGTTTCCAGCTAAACTGACATCTGATTGTTCAAAAATGACTTCAAAAGTTACTAGTGCTTCTCTTAAAAATGAACAAATAATATCATTGTTGTTTTACCAAGCATCTGCAGGAAAAGGGTTTAGCTCGCTAAGACATCCATGGTGACATGATTGCTACATTAGGGTATGACGTTCCAACAGTGCAAACGTGGGTAGCTAAACTTAGGAAGAGAAAGGAATATCTTGAAGGTAACCCAAGGTCTGATTGTCCTGCAACTTCCACCACTGAGGAAAACAGTGAGCGTTTATACCACATGGTGATGGGTGACAGGTGGTTGTGTAGAGAATATTCTGCACAATGAACTTGCTATGATGGTTTCTGCTCTTTTTGGTATGATGAATGTTTCTGCTCTTTGATCAGGTTTTAGAAGGCACTTGATAACAAGTGCACCAATCTGATCACATCAGAGGTAAATCTGACTTTGTTTGGGGCAGATCCACCTAGTTTCCTTGAATATTTCCTAACCCAGGATGAGTGTTGGGTTGATCACTTTGAGCTAGAGACAAAGAGACAATCTCTACTGTCGAAACTGTCCTAACCTTCTTCAAAGATTGGCAGGACCGTTTTATCTACAAGGACGTCGATAGCCTCACTTGTTTGAGATGTACAAAGGTATTGTGTTGGCTATCTTCAAAAGGGCCACACCATCAATGGGGAGTACTATGAACTGAAGCAGTTATGAAAGGCTATCAAGATCAAATTGCCAAGCAAACTGACGAAAGTGGTATTGTTTCATCAGGACAATGTGCCAGCACACAAGTCTTTGGTTTCAATGGTTGCTGTGGATTTGGATTGGTTGATCGCCCTGCCTATTCTCCTCATTTGGCAACATCTGACTATCATCTGTCCCCCAACAGAAAAAAATATTTGGCTATGTACCAGTATCGCAGGGTTGATGACGTCATGTCTGCTGTTGATGACTTTTTTGACGAACAGGACGAAAGCTTCTTCACAAATAGGATCTAAGTACGGCAACACAGATGATATCTATCTATCTATCTATCTATCTATCTATCTATCTCTCTCTCTCTCTCTCTCTCTCTCTATATATATATATATATATATATATATATATATATATATATATATAAATTACTTTTTTTTGCTAACCAGAGGCTACCTCTGAAGCTGAATGGTGTATCACGTCAGATATATATATATATATATATATATATATATATATATATATATATATATATATATATATATATGTATGTGTGTGTTTGTGTGTGTGTTCAGATCTATCTATCTAATCTATATCTATTTAATTCTGTTCATATCTGTCTCTCATTCTCTTCATATCTATATATCTATGTCACTCTATTGAAATAAATATTTATATCTGTTCAGATGTATCTATATATGTATCTCGTTCTTTTCCTATCTATCTATCTATGTATCTATCTATCATCATCTATTTTCATCTATTTTTTATAGAGTGCTATTTTATATTTTTAATTTCACGCATGCGCTTTGCTTATAATTTTGTCAACTGCACAGTAGAGTAAGATCAGTTGGGCACCGTCCTTGAGAAAAATTGTACCATGTAACTTCACTCCGCCATAAATTTGGAAACGTCATGTCGTATTGCTTTGCCTTCGTACCGGAAGCTCCATTACGAATATTTTAGAATGTTTTGGTGTCATAGGCATGATAGGGTAATGGATAGCGGCTCGGACTGGGGAGAGCTGAGTTCGAATTCTAGTCGGATCAATTACATTCACTTACGTGTTAAGAAAGGTTTGAATTCTCTTCTCCTCGCCCACCCCCAAAATAAATGAGTAAATACCCTTGGTTGGCAACCGGTCTAGGAGAAATTAACTCTGAATTCAAAACTGTAGCAGATACTATACAGATAAAGAAGGTGATCGTTTGCATTGGCTCGATGATCCCGACTACGGTTGAATGATGATGATGATAATGTGTGACGTTGTGGGGACAGTGCAGATGATTCGGAAAGAGTTGGATGAGTCTAATATATATATATATATATATATATATATATATATATATATATATATATATATATATATCAGTGTTCATATTCATTCGTTCGCTATCTCTATTTACATATACATGCATATATATATATGCAAGCATACATATATATGTGTATATATATATATAAATACAGAAAAACATATAAACACAAGCATTTATATATATATATATATATATATATATATATATATATACATATATATATTATATTATGTATGTATATATATAATATAAAAGGCTCAAAGACTAATATTCTATGGTTATAATTTATTACATTGGAATCGTAATTACGATCCTATTTTAGGTCTGATGAATTGGATCGTGATTACGATTCCAATGTAATAAATTATAACCATGGAATATTAGTGTTTCAGCCTTTATATTATATTCTTACTCTGTCCTGGACAATGAGTTCTACCTGCATTCTATCCTCTTGGGAATTTATATATATATATATAAATATATATATATATTGACCACTAATATTATCATATATATATATATATATATATATATATATATATATATATATATATATATATATATATATATATATATCAGTATATATATATATATATATATATATATATATATATTCATAATCTGTTTTGCATTGATTTTCGTCCCTCCATTGCTATCCATCTTAACTTCACATCACTCATTACCCCACCTCTTTATATCTATCTTGTTTATAAACTCAAGATATAAGTAAACATTAACTGTGTATTCACCATTCGCCAATTTGATGAAGGCTTTTTTTTAATCATTAATAGTTTGTGGTTAGCATAAATGGTTTGATTTAATATCAAATTTACTCTGATGTATTTGCAGAAATTCTTTTTAGAATTAATTACATACGCAAAACAGAATTAATAATAAAACCTGTTTATAAGAAGAACGAAAATTCACTGTCACTGGGGGTCTGCATGGATACAAAAAAATATGAATATTTGATGTGATTTGCTATTATCACTTAATCTCCAATCATAGTTAACAAACATCTGGTAAATATGCAAATACATGAAAGATAATAATAATAATAATAATAATAATAATAATAATAAGCTAATTCTTTTCCCTTTCAGCTCCCTCTTTTTTTTTACCGTATATTTCAATTTTTCTGTCCGCCCCCCAACCTTAAGCGGACATCCGTGTCCATTTTTCACTTTCTTTTTTCACTTTTTCTCTCTTATTTTAAGCATCCCAAATCTCTGTCGCTGCGTATATGTGTACATGTTTACTAATATCTGTCTCTCTCTCTCTCCCCTGTATATATATATATATATATATATATATATATATATATGTATACGTATATAATTTGCATGTGTATGTATCCGCATTGACAGGGATCATATTGTATTTATTTTTATCTTTTTCATGGTTACAGGTGTGATTTTCCTACAATGCTCCGACCTTTGACTATCATGTCTTTGAGTGAAAATTTAAAAATATATCTTTTAGCGGCTAGTAGGCTGAGAGATGACCGGAAAAGTATAACTTTTTTTACTGTTTTGCTTCTACCCCTTTGTTTAATGAATTCTTTGATATCCGCCCCCCCGCAAACTGTAGTATAAGTCCAGCGGACCCCATAAAATTTGATAAGTATCTGTCGTTGGCGACGGAAAACTGAACATTTGTGGAAGGTCACTTTTGCCATGCTCCGAAGTAGGAAGAAACGGTAAATGTAGAATTTATTTATTTATTTTTTTTTTGAATGATACTTTTCGTGTAGTTTGCTATGATTGTAAATTCTTTTGACTCAAGCTAATTCTTGCCCTTTCAGCTCCTTCTTTTTTTTTTTTCACCGTATATTTCAATTTTTCTGCCCCCCTCCAACCTTAAGCGGACATCCGTGTCCATTTTTCACTTTCTTTTTTCACTTTTTCTCTCTTACTTTAAGCATCCCAAATCTCTGTCGCTGCGTATATGTGTACATGTTTACTAATATCTGTCTCTCTCTCCACTATATATATATATATATATATATATATATATATATATATATATATATATATATGTATACGTATATAATTTGCATGTGTATGTATCCGCATTGACAGGGATCATATTGTATTTATTTTTATCCCTTTTTTTTTTTTTTTTTTTTTTTTAAGTCTATATACTAAAATCTATTTATCCCCTTGAGTGGTCACTCGGACTTATACTAAGTTAAAACTTAGTATAGTCTACCCCACTGAATACCACACAATCTTTTGAACTATTCTACCTTCGTTATATCAATAAATCCACAATCTCATTGTTTGGGCGTGCTCCTGGATCTTCTTCGAGATTCGTCCTACAGCTGGTAAACTGAACATAATTACCCCTTGGCGGTCGAGGTTAAAACGCATCTCTACCAATTTCAATGAATACGAATAATATTTCATACCGGATCGGCCGTCAACCGGGACAACAAGGGCCGTGTCCCTCAGAGAGGAACCAGTCTGAGAACGAAAAGTCTGCCACTGGAACAAACTCTTCCACACACGAAGAGACACTTGGTCACCAAAACCGGATTATTGCCAACCTTGGACCAAGTGACTCTATACCAAATCGACCAATAAAAAGTAAACGAGCGAAATGGAGCCGCGAAGAGTATCGACAAGTCATGACATCCTTCTTCATTGCACTCGAAAACCCAGCAAAGAACACCACCAATCAAACATACCAAATATGGAGAAGTACGGTGGGAAATGATGTAAGACCTAACCTCAATCCAAACATGCTTGCCAATGTCCGTAGGGACATCATGCGAAACAACAGACTCTCAAAGGCAGAAATAGATAAGATAAAATTAGATATAAGACAAAATACTATGACCCATCACTCAAACTCTATTGAGACGAATGTAGAAATAAGGAATGCAACAGAGGATGAGGTGGACGCTAAAGCGAATGAAATACGAAATAATCTCCCAAGAAATGAAACCCAAAACTCTACCTTAAACACAACCTGCAGTCCTCCAGAAACTGTACCTGGAGTCACCTTCAGTGACAATAAGTTAGAATTCCTTGAAAACCATGAAGCTGAAATCACCGAAGCGAAAAATGACGTCATCCAAGTACTCAGCAGAGTAACTTTCATACAATTGTCAGACAGAGACCAGCTCCCGAAAATCCATATGACGAACTCCAACAGGCACATCGTGAAAATATACAATGCTGCTCTGGAAACACTGTTAACAGATAAACCACCGGGAAACATCACAGAAGTTAACAACGTCATATACGCCACAGCATTAGCAGCGACTCGGAAGCTTGGAGTCAAGACAATAAATAAAATTAACAGACACAGAGAACCAGCTTGGAAAACCAAACTGATTCGAGAAATACAACAGATCAGATGTGAGCTTTCTATATTAGATGAGCTCACCAGAAACCCTAATATTTCCACACGTAAATTCAAAAAGATCAAGCGAAATATAACATTAAATCCCTAATTGATATTCCATCAATCAAGGAAATGCTGAAGCAGAAACTTCAGCTAAAGGCGCAGAGAACAAGACGATACGAAAAACGTTGTATGTTCTATCGCCAAAATAAAATATTCCGAACAGATCTTAAGAAATTTTACAGGGAAATTGGAAAAACACCTATACATGTCGAAAGGCCACCATCGATTGATAATGTACAGACATTTTGGGAAAATATCTGGAGCAGCCCAAAGGAATATAACCCAAACGCAGAATGGATACGGCGTGAAGAAGAACGAATGCTGGATACACCTCTGCAAGAATGGGAAAATATATCCACAGATGATGTTAGGAAAGTCTAACGAAATCCCAAAAATGGAAATCCCCAGGAAGTGACAAGTTGCCCAATTTCTGGCTGTATCATCTCACATCTACCCATGAAATTCTTGCAAAAACATTATCAACGCTTGTAAATAATCCCAATAAAATCCCGGAATGGATTACTGAAGGTATGACATACCTCATACCAAAAACAACTGAAACAGACGACCCGAAAAATTATAGACCGATAACATGTCTCTCCACAACGTATAAGTTGATCACGTCTGTACTGACGAACCGTACTTATTCCTTTCTCGAAACAAACAGCATTCTCCCGCTGGAACAGAAGGGATGCAGAAGAGGTTCATATGGCTGCAAAGATCAACTTCTGATAAATAAAATGATCCTGGAATATTGCAGGAGACGACGCAGGAATCTTAGAGCAGCGTGGATTGATTATCGTAAAGCCTTTGATAGTGTTCCACATTCTTGAATCCTTAAGACTTTGGAAATGTACAAAGTCTCCCCTGTGGTATTAAATTTCCTTAAGCACAGCATGGGAATGTGGAACACCAAACTATACCTTAGTCACACCGGGGGCACTGCCATATCCAACCGTCTGAATATCCGACGTGGAATCTTTCAAGGAGATTCTCTGTCACCCCTTCTGTTTTGTTTATCCTTAATCCCTCTTACACATGAATTGAACAACAGTAGCTATGGTTACAAAATAAATAAGAAAATATTCAATCACCTACTCTACATGGATGATCTCAAACTCTTTGCCAAAGACGACAATGAGTTGAAAGGCCTCCTCAATATTGTAAAATACTTCAGTGACGACATAGGTATGGGCTTCGGATTAGATGAATGTGCAAAAGTAACATTCAAGAAAGGTAGAATTACAGACACACCCTTAATAGATTTAGATTTTGTCACAAAGATTAGGGAACTGGAGCATGATGAAGCTTATAAGTACCTAGGAATTAGCGAAGGAGATGGCATACAACACCCCAAAATGAAGGAAAAAATAAGAAAAGAATACTACAGGCGTGTACGTCTGGTACTAAATACTGAGCTAAACTCAAAAAACAGGATATCAGCCATAAACACATTGGCTGTCCCTGTGGTGCAATACAGCTTTAATGTCCTTAACTGGACCATAGCTGAAATTAAGCGAATGGATGCCAAAACGAGAAAGCTACTCACTTGCTATCGCATGCATCATCCCAAAGTCTGTATGTGCCCAGATCCGAAGGAGGCAGAGGATTAGTTCAACTAGAACTGTCCTACAAAACTACAACAATTGGCCTCCAAAGATATTTGGAAACTACAGAAGACTGGATGATGGTATGCGCCAAGGAACATGAAAGTAGTAAGCGTCTCTACTCCGTAATGAAAGAAGCCAACAAATTCAAAATGGAGTTTCAAATGGGAGTAGAGATGCAACTACAGCACAATACACCGGCTGAAACTGCAAAATACCTAAAAAAGACAGCAAAGACGAATGCAACCGACCAGTTACAGAATCGATGGCAAGATAAACCGCTTCATGGCCAATACTCTGCCCATACCAAACAAGCTGACGTAGACAAAACCCGTACGCATCAGTGGCTACGTAGTGCAGGGTTGAAAGCGGAAACTGAAGGTTTTATCCTTGCTGCGCAGGACCAATGCTTGCTGACTAGGAATTATCAAGCTCATATACTAAAATATTGTGTCAGCCCAAAATGCAGATTCTGTGATAAATATCCAGAAACGATTGATCATCTTGTATCAGGTTGTACGATGTTGGCACCCGACATGACAGAGTGGGCCAATATCTGCACTAAAAAATCTGCAACTTCTACGGGAAGAAAACTGAAAGAAACTGGTATGAACACCACCCAGACCCGATTACGCAGAAAAGGACCTGTTACATTTCTATGGGACTACACAATACACACTGACAGAACAATCAAAGCCAACCGCCCAGATATTGTTATTAAAGACCACAAACAAAAAAATTGCCTCTTTATTGATATGGCAGTCCCTGCAGACTGCAATGCATCTTTGAAGATATTCAAAAAGCTGTCAAAATACAAGGACCTTGAAATCGAAATCTCAAAAATGTGGCATATGGGAACATCAACAATCCCTGTTGTAGTTGGAGCCCTAGGACTGGTTGGAAAAGATTCCAATAGACTAATTGAAGGGATTCCTGGAAGTCCATGCCTCAAGGAGATACAAAAATTTGTTCTGACAAGTACAGTCCACACTTTACGAAGGGCTTTATCTATGTAATTTAATTTTTTTTTTTTTTTGTCAGGGGAAAGTATCATGATGCCATTTCTAACCTTAGGTCACTCGGCGGGATGCGGAAAGAAATGTGCAAACGCCAGAAATCAAAGAAAAAAAAAATAATAATGATGATCTTGACTATTTTGTATCAGGTTGCGCGGTATTGTCACCCACTGAATATAAAACACGGCACGACAGAATCGGCCAGTATCTGCACTGGACAATCTGCAACTTCTACGGAAAGGAAACTGCAAGAAATTGGCATGAACACCACCCAGACCCGGTTACAGAGATAGGACCTGTAACAATTTTATGGGACTTTACAATACACACAGACAAAACAATCAAAGCTAATCACCCTGACATCGTGATTAGAGACCGCAAACAAAAAAAATATCCTTATTGACATGGCAGTCTTTGCAGGCTGCAATATATCTTTGAAGTTCTTCAAAAAAAATCTATTAAAATACAAGGTCCTTGAAATCTAAATCTCAAAAATGTGGCACATGAAGACATCAACAATTCCATTTGTAGTTGGAGCCCTCGGATTGATTAGAAAAGATTCCAGTAGACTCATTGAAGGAATCCTTGGATGCCTTAAAGAAATACAAAAAACTGTACTCGCAAGTACAGCCCACACCTTACGAATGGCTTTATCTATGTAAAATATGTACGATTTTTTTTTTCAAAACTGTTCGGTGAAAAACGTCAAGATGCCATTTCTGACCTTAGGTCTCTGGTCGGGACCCGGAAATAAATGAGTATACGCCAGAAACTAAAGGAAATAAAACGATATTAGTAATAATGATAATAATAATAATAGGAGGAGGAAGAGGACCTGGAGATCGAGATTAACAGGATGTGGTTAATGAAGACTGAGACTGCGCCAATAGTAATCGGAGCACTGGG